ACGCTGATTCGAAAACATACTTGCTGTGTGAGTGGTGATTAATGGCTCTGCCATCAGAGGTTGAGCCCGCTGGAGTGGTGTAAAAACAAAGAGCTGCAGGCATGGTTATCAGGTTACCAAGGTGACCAACCCAGCACAATATTCTTCTTTTTTTTTTTCATTTATTTGGTTTGTAAAGTAGGAGAAAATAGGCTACTGCAAATAAACTGCTTATGGACTCTTAGACTGAGACGTGAGACCATAATTCAACATGTGTTCTGCATTATTTCATGTGACATATATAAAGCCAGCAGGAACTTAAAGCACAGAGGTAATTAGCAATTATAATGCTGACTTATCTAAGTGAGGTAAACCCCCATGTGGTTCTTTTACCATTACATTTCCAAGAAAACTGACTCCTCAGTGTTTCATGGCATTGTTGGTATGGTCCAAAGTTGCAAATTAGTCACACTGGAGACCTAAACTTGCTACACGTATGAGTGTCAGAGTATCCGGTATGCTGTTGGTAGCATTCCCCTTTTTACTGAAATGCTATTAAAATCAAAATGAAAGCAGTTTTAGGCAAAAACAGCAGAAAATACAAATCATAAACAAAGTGTGCTGTAAGCCTAGGTTATACTTCCTCTGTGGTTTTTACCATAAACTGAACGGACGCTCGGTCTTTGTGATTTATCAGAGAATATGGAGTTTTCACCAAACATCCTGATAGCACCTTATGATTCACTCCTTGCAGACAAATTACTATCACAACACTTTTTGTGACTTGAATGTTTTGTTCTACTCTTCTTCTTCTTTGTCATCTTCTTCTTATTATCGTTATTTGTTTCCTGCGATCTTTTTAAAAAGATAATAAAAAGATTTACTTTGTTCGTTATTCCTTCATTTGTTCTGTGAGCTAGGCGCATTGTTTTGATTTCAATTTCATCACTGACATGAAAATGATAAACCACAAAACCTTTGTCACGTACACTTGTTTTTGCAAGTAATAATAGTAATAATAATATTTTTGTAACTGACGCAGTTCTCACCTTTGCAGTGCGAAACATCCGCACACATGCATGGCGTCACCGTTGTGACATCGTGTTGTTGTTGTGATACTAAACCAGATGTCTGACTGGAGAAACTGCACGTTCACATGGAGGCAACATTGGTCATTAAACACGTCCTACATTATCATGTATTTGACTCTAAATGGCAGACACGATAAACTTTTTTTGAAATATTAAACTTCTCAGACTTTGATAAAATCTAAACTGACCCTCGCTGACCATGAGAAAGAATCCAGTTTTAAAGCATTTCTTCACTGGCTTCCCTTTCTGACCCAGTAGCTATGACCGTGTGTCACATATCATTGGTTGGCTGTTGTGCTTGTGCTTATTCACCACAAGGATGGAAGTCTTAAGAATGTGTATCACACTGAGCGTTGATTTTCAAGTTTACCATGAAAAATTCAAAGAGGCGCGTAAAAATGAATAAGCAGTTTGAATGAAATCTACCTGAAGTGATGAAAAACGTAACTGATTGTTGCAGCTTTCTATAAACACAGCATGCAGCTATTATAGCAATTCTCCAAGGCTGTTTCCCCGTGGAGCATGACAAAGACACAGGAAGCGCTGTGACGTATAGCCTCACGACTGTGAACCTCATCCACAGAAACGCTGGCAAATGCGCGTGTCAATAACTATCTAGAGTGGCTTCCACGGTGACAAGGTAATTGGGTTTGTGGGAACGTCGGCTTTGAGCTCAGCTGCTTTGACAAACGCCGCAGGCTGCGTGCTTATTGATCTATGAAGAGCAGCGAATGTGCCTAAGCAGATGATCTCGTGTCAGTCTGCACGTCAAGCAGCAGTTTGTAGATAACACAACAGCTGATTCCTTTTTACCCATGTGACACGGTATACTAGTAAAACTGCCCAGTGCAAGGTTAACAAAAATGTCACCAGCAATCAGGACAATGACAGAGATTCAGAGAAAGCCTGCTTTCTTCCTCTGTTTGCTTGTGCGCTCACAGCATGACTCAGTAGAACTAAACTGCAGTTAAATTCTTGCTTTCCAGGGAATTAATACTGATCACTAGTTTAGCTACCTGAAACTCATTATCAGTCTTTACTAATCCACCGTTTGGCCTCTAATGATTCAGAAAAAGGTTAAAACACCACCAAAGGCTCAGAGATTTGAAGAAAAAAAAAGCACCAATGTTCACATTTGAGAAGCTGGTATCAGTTATTATTTATCAGTTATTATCTTCAAATGAATACACAGAATATGTGAGCAGGGGATAAGATTTTATCAATGGGGATCTTACAAATTTCCATATCATTTAGTACTCTGAGTAGTGTATGCCTAGTATGTCTGGCCTTTGGCTGCATGCAGGTCTGTGCAGGGAGTAATCTTGAAACCACTAACTCTTGTCTGATTTGATCTACAATCGTATTTGGACTGTAAAAAAAAAAAAAGATCAGTGCTCTGTGGAGTCTTGCCCCAGATATCTGTTATCTGGACACCCGCAGGCCACCCCAGAAACCCTGATACATTAGAAGTTACCCCAAGAGGCTAACTTATCAGACCACAGCTGATGAATTCCCTGATTGTTAGCTTTTTTTCCTTTGGGATCCCTCAGAAGAATTCCCACTAAATACAGCCTCACAGAGGTTGGTTTCCAGCTCTTTCCGTGTATTATTTATTTTATTAAAATGTAAATCGGTAAACAGACATTGACGTCACATGAGAAAGAAAATTCTACTGCACCCACATACGACATAAAAGAAACATAAGAAGAAAAAGACACCAAGTGTCTAATGCGCCTGCATCTTTTCTCTTGCTCATGTTACATCTCATCTGAACAAAGCTGCTTTGGTTGTTTACCTGCAGCACCAGATTGAACCTTTGTGACATGAAAACACGTGAGGGCCATGTCACCGGCCACGGTAAGGGCTTAGAAAAGATGGCAGGTGCACAAAACTAGTTATTATCTCTGGAGGAGACGCACGCACGGAGCAAGATCTTAAATACCTGAAATGAGGCAATTTAAAGACAATAACCTCAAATGCCAGTACAAATAGTCCCCAGAAAACAGCAGTCAGACGCTGGCATTGTGGAAAAAATGTTTGTGTGTGTGTAGTGAGAGTTAGTGTGTGCCTTACACTGACACAGAGAGCACAACAGTTACACAGTGTCTTCTGTCACAGGTCAGCGAAAGACAAGCTGCATATAGTGATAAAGAAGGATATGGAGAACGTGTGTGCCTGATATTTATTGGGAGCGTTTGACTTTGCCGTGTGCTGACTCCTCCTGAACGTGTAAAGAGCTCTGTTGCCCCCTGCTGGGGAAATGGTGTGACTAAATTCAAAACAGAACTAGTTGAGGGCAAAGCACATCTGCACAGTTCGCTTCAGAATATCTCAAATCTGTGGAGAAGGCCTGTCACACTGTATGAGGTGCATGTGAGGACATAAAAGATTTTTAGGTGATGGTTTTTGTTTGTGATTGTTCACCCACACCTTTTTCTGCTGTGTATCACTCTGTCATCATTCACTCTGTTTCGCACAGCAAATGTTTACAGTTTCTAAATTAAAAAATGTTCCCTTTTTTGCTTTGTTTTTGGGAAATAAAGAGAAATAAAAAGGCCTTCTAGCTGTTAATCATCCCAAAGTTCTTTAAAGACAAAAAGCTGTGGATTCAGGCGAGTTATCTCCTACTGCTGTGAAAGGACGAGCAGCTCCACTCACCTTTTCCAACTGTCAGTATTGATTCATTCATTCTAAAATTATCAATTTCAGCTCATCTAAAAAAAAAAAAAAACACTCATCACATCTTTTTTCATTTCATCAGGTTTGACTCCCCTTTGCTTCAGAACTGCCTTAATTCCTCATCACATAAATCCAACAAGTTCCTGGAAACATTCCTCAGACTTTGGTTTGTATTGATATGACAGCATCGCACAGCTGATCCACAGATTAGTCAGCTCCACACCTGTGACATGAATCTCCTGTGACTGTGGAGGCTGCCTTGAACTCCAGGCCGCCATCAAAAGATGAGTACAGTGTGGTCATAAAAGGATGGACATGGTCAGCAACATTACTCAGGGAGGCTTTGCTGTTTAAATAATGCTCATTTTGTACTAAGAAAATAAGAAAAGAACATTACACCCACACAAACTGCCTGAATCACTGGTAAGAGGCAGGATGGAGCCACACTTTCATGTTGTTTACATCAAATTCTGTCCCTACCATCCAAATGTGGCAACAAAAATTAAGATTCATCAGACCGGGCAATAATTTTAGTATCTTCTGTTGTCGGACTTTGATGAGCCTTTGTGAATTTTAGCCTCGATTCCTGTTCTTAGCTGACAGGAGTGGCACCCAGTGTGCTCTGCTGCTATTCGCTGCTCTTCTGCATACCATACCTCAGTCATATGAGAGGTAATTTGAGTTAATGTTTTCTGTTTGTTTAAATTGATATCTGCTGGGACATCATAAGTTGTTGTTGTTTTGTTTTGTTTTTTACAAAAAAAGAAACAGGTCAGTCTAATTTATTCAGCAAATATTGTTGTTTTTTTCACCCAAGAATGTTTGTCTCTATGTGGCAAAATTTGAATTCCTGAATTCTGAAACTGCATAGCGAGAAGTTTTATGTATTTTTACTTACTTACTTTGTCTAATCTATGTCCACATGGAAAATCATATATGTACATTTAACCCAAAAAATATCCAGCTGGTCTCCTTAATAATCATGCTCTTTATAATGTAAGAGTTAACTGATAAATAAATATCAACAGTGTGTCACCAGACGGTTAAAGGCATGTGTCGGGTTATTGATTGATTGATTGAATTTTCTGTAGGTGTTTGAGCTTCTCTGAAAATGCTGGCGACATGAATTGTCACTCTGAGGAGGCCACGCAGCCCTGGAGAATCTCGAATCCACTAAACTGTCTTCAGGGTTTTGTTTGTTCCCTGTGACGCCGCTAGATGTCACACAACCAAACACCAGCAGCAGCTGCTGATAGAACCGACACACCACTGAGTATTTCTCCATCTATTAGGTGTCATGCATCCAGTTTAATAGCTAGTACACGTGCGGACAGTGAGTCATTAATTAATTCTGAGGGAACTTGAAGAAGAAAACGATCCAGTGCTGAGATCCGTGCGTCACCGGGTCCCCGGCGGTGGCGACGCGTACTGCTCCTCAGTCGTGCTTCGCTTCAACCCGGCTTTAAAAAAAAACGGGCCAGTGAGACCGCTCACCGATCGCCGATTAACACATTAATTGAGCCCATCAACCAATCGTTCGGTCGCGATCGTGGCGCCTCGCCCACGGCATGACCTCCGGAGTGACGCGTCTCTCCGATGAGAGGGCGGAGGGAAGAGCGCCGGAGGAGATGCGCATATCTGCAGGTCTCTAGCGCTGTCGTAAAACAAGTGTCGGGAGCAAGTGAGCTAAAATTAAAGCAATGCCAGGAGTAACCAAGTACAATTTAGTGGATGACGCGCAAGATTTGAGGATCCCCATGCACAACGAGGAGGTGTTTAAGCATGGGGTGTGCTTCGAGGCAAAGGTAAGAAGCCTCTGCAACAGATTGTACTTTCTGGGCAGCATTTCAGGCTTGAAGACCAGCGAGTCCTAATATGCTAAACACTGTTATGTGGGCTTCTTGGGTTTCAGATGTCGTCTTATATTGCTTTTTTCTTTTTTTCTTGCATAATTGTGTGTGTTAGTTTATTGTTGCGTCTTCTGACCATGCAATAATTTTATATTTTATATTAAATTTCCCTTTATGACTTTGTCATTTTTTAAAATTCATTTTCATAATCTTGTTTCAGGGATAATACAAAGTTTTGGTTTAGTGCAGATGAATGAGACTGACTGCACTGTGGGAATTATGAACAGTTCTTTAAGTTTTACTGTTTTGGCTCTGGTCTGCACTAATTACATGATTTCGTCTGTAAAAAAAATCATATAGTTTGTTCGGATGTGTTGTCCTCTTTGACCAACACTTATATAGCCAAATTCATAATTTTATGTAATGTAAGACAGATAAAAACTGTAAATTGCCAAATCTGAGAAGGTAGAATCGTCTATATTTGATATTTGCTTGAAAAAATAATGTGCAGTGTAATTACAATTTTATATATAGTTGTCTGCTTATCCAAAACTGTGTAAAAAAAAAAAAAGCCCAGCACTTCCCAAGTATTCACTTCCTCAACAATCCCGTCTTTAAACCTTTCTCTTATGTTTTGCAGTACATAGGCAGTTTGGAGGTGGGCCGCCCCGGGAGCCGAATGGAGATAGTTGCAGCAATGAGGAGAATCAGAGTAAGATTTCCCTGAAGCACACACACTTTGCCTCTTTGACAAAACCCACTTTGAAACACTGGTGACGTTCGCTGCACGTCTTTGTGCACGTTCCTCACAAGTTCCTTTCTCTGGGCTCGGCGTCCCCTCTTTACACATAAATGACCTGTCTGTGTAAAACTACACAGTGGGCAGATTCAGTGGGCCGTCAGGAGCAGTTTAAATCAGGGCAGGATTCGTAGGGCAGCTTGGATTTTCTGGCTGAGGAGAGACACGGCGCACAGGGATATGTTTGATGCCATCAGGGGAAAAAAACAACATCCTTCAAGCCTCCTTTCGTTACAATCATGCAAGGCCGCTGGAAACAACACGCAGCCTTGTCATTAAACATCACTGCAGCGTTACAGAGACACTCGGGGAGGAAAGGATTTAGCTGCTCGTCAGCTGTTGCGTCTAATCTAACAACCAAGTTTATGGTGTCACTCGGAGATCGGCCGCCTCCCCAGTGACACCCAAGGAAAGACTTAATCCTGATCCAGCATCCCGTACAGTGGGCGATGCTGGTCATTTGATCACACTGGCAAAGATGT